CAGGTCTCCTTCTCCCAGGACGACTGCGAGCGTGGTTTCTTCCAGGGGTGCAACTTCTGATCCATTAAATCCAAAAAGTGATGTATGCAATAGCGTTAACTCAAGATCCAGCTCCATCTTCTTGAGGCAGTTATAGAAGATCACATTCACCGAACTCCCGGTGTCGATGAACACCCTCTGCACTTCGTAACCCGACACTTGGGCCGTTATCATTAGAGCATCATTATGTGGCCTCTCGATTTCGCCCATATCTGCTGGCCCAAAATTCATCACTGGGCCGTTCTCCTCCACTTGCTGCACTTTGGCTTTTTTATAGTGCCCTCGAGCGAATGCTTTTCTTGCCCAATTTGAATCTCCGTCAGTCGGCCCTCCGAATATCAGATGAATTACCCCTCTCTTCTGAGGGAGCTCCTCCCTGTCGGGAGTCCTTGCCCTCTTGCGAGGGCTCTTTCTTCTTTCCCGGCATCGACTGGTTCTTTCTCGATCCTTATAAATGAACTCCTTTAGATGGCCAGCTTTGATTAGCTTCTCGATCTCATCCTTGAGGTGTCTGCAATCGTCAGTGTTGTGCCCATAATCCTTGTGGAACCGACAATACAGATTGCTTTTGGGTTTTGTTGGTCCATCCTTTCGCATCCGCGACCATCTGACAACATCATCACGGATTTCCTTCTCCATTACCTCCAATATTCTCGCGTTCGGGACCGACAAGGGGGTGTACCGAGTCGGCCTCCACCCCCTCGACCGTCCATCCTTCTCTACTCTCAGGGATCCTTTCCTTTCCAACGCCGAGCTCGGCTTCTTATCCTTCTTCTCTTCTCGGGGGTCGGGGAGAGTTTTCGCCTTTGCCGCCTGCAAGAAATCGACTTCTGCTTCCTCCACATTCATATATTTGGCGCACCTCCCCATGACCTCTTCGAAGGTCCTCCCCGGCCGTTTCGCCACAGAGTTTCTGCACAGTCCAAGGAGCAATCCCCTGGTTAGTCCTCTGATTTAATTTCCTCTGTGGCCGAAGGCACATCGACACATGCTCGCATATATCTCGCCACATAATCTCGCAACGACTCTCCCTCCTTTTGTTGCATACCTATCAGAGTAAGATAAGACTTTTCCTGCGCCTTCACGCTTGCAAATTGATTCAAAAAACTCGAGCTGAATCCATCAAAGTCCCTGACGGCTCCCGGAGGTAACTGATGGAACTAATCCTGCGCAGGTCCTCGTAGAGTCGTTAGGAATGCTCGGCATTGGACGGGGTCATTATAGCGGTGTAGTACTGCCATGTTTTCAAAACTCCTTAGATAACGAGAAGGATCAGTCGACCCATCGTACCAAATGCTAAGCTCCCTGAACCCCTAGGGTAAGTCGGCGTCTAGAATGTGTGGCGAGAAGGGATGTCCTCTCGAGCTCCCCATTTTTCTCCCCTCAACTCGGGCCTGCAGATCTCGAACCTAAGCCAGCAGTTGCTCTAGCGTGTCGTTCCTTGCTTGTGGATTGACAGTTCTGACAGAAGACTTCTCTTCGTCCGCTCTCCTGCTTTGTCTTTCATGAGATTGAGCTTGCTGTTCACGCTCCGGAGGAAGCTGTTCGATTCGGGGCTGCTCGACCCTTGGCTGCTCGACCCTGGGTTGGTCGATTCTGGGGTGATCGACTTGCGTCTGTTTGAGTTGGGCCGCTACTGCCTCTGCAATCATCCTCTGCATCTCGCTTCTCGTCATGGTTAGCATTTGCTCCTCGACTTGGGGTGGCGGCCTTGCTTCCCGTTCAAGTCGCCCAGGCTGTCTCCCCAATCTCAGAGATGTTTCGGTCGGTGCATGACCTTTCACTTTTCCGCTCGTGTCTTTCACGTGACTGGCCTCCCGTTGAGTGAGCACTGGAATCTTGACCCCAGGCGGGGTGATAGGTGTCTCCTCCCCCATACGCGCTCCTGACGGCACGTCTGTTCCGAACGATGGGAAACCAAGCACTTGGAGCGGTGGCCTGGGGTTGGGAATCGGCGGAGGCCGCTTGTCAGTCCACGTTGCCCTGAAATCCTCATTCAAATTCTTCTGCAACCCTTCTTTCTCAGCCATCAAAGACAGATCCAAGCTAGGTGTAAAGCTCTTAATTCTTTCAAGAACTCTCACAGACGGCGCCAAAATGATGGGTCTCCTCTCAGATCTGGAGTGAACCGATGGAAAGCCGCCCAGATCTGAAATGAACCGACGAGAATGATCTCAGATCTGACTTGATAGCCTCCGAACCGTTGCCGAACCACGAGAAGACCTGCAAGAACTCAACGCTAGAGGGGTTTCCGGCGTAGAGCCTCCGACGTTCAAGTCAGTATGTGAAAGAGATAGAGAGAGCTACTCTGAGAGAGCAGCAGCAGTAATGGATGAGAGTGTGGAATGAATGGGAGTTAGGGTTTTGGGGGTTACCTCAGCCCCTTTATATAGGAACAATACATTTACCTGAAGTTCCCAAGATGCCCTGGCCGACTTACTGGAAATGTCCAAAATACCCTGGTCGGTTCGCATTCCGTCCTTCTCCTAGTCAGCATTTAGATTCCTTCTTATCCTTAGTAGCTTCCTTCTTACCCTGAGTAGCTTCCTTCTTATCCTTGACAGTTCTCCTCTGATGTATCGAAGTGTATCGGATTGTCGGGGATCCATGAGCCTCGGGACTTCCTCAGTCGACTCGGGTTTATTAACTCGAGTCGACGGGGTCATCTTCAGTCGTCGGTAGACCCTGATGCACTTATCCGTCTTTTCGGGGAAATCGACTTATTCTAGTCGACATGTAGGAGTCGACCGAGAGATGCCTGTACCCCTAACCGGAGATATTATAGGGAGTCTGCGGAGAGAGTCGACTTTGGCTAAGTCGACTCGGTAATCTTAGAACCGTTGATAGTATAAACCGTTATACGATGGTATGGCTATATCACACTTGTTACTTGTGCGACTTACATGTGTTATATTATTGTAAAATCATATTACTACTTTTTTTTATTTGTTTCTAATTTATATTAAAAAATAATTTTATTATGGTTGTAAAGATAAATATAACTTAATATTTTTACACATACAATATGGATGTTAAATCGAAAACATCAAAAGATGATTAATTTGATACATTATATATGTAAAACTGATAAAAAATACCAAAGTTATTAACTTTTAAGTACATTTAAAATTAGTGATTATAATAAAAATGATATTAAAATACAATTAATACATGTAGACATGACCATAAATAATTAACATATTTATGGATAATCAGGACCTAATTATTTCTGTATTGGAAGAAAATAAAAACATAACCAAGCCTAACAACGAAACAAGCAATTTTGCCACATAGGATCACGAAGCATGTGAGTCTGCCACTTAGACTCAGCACGTTCTGAATTAATATATAGGGGGTATATGGTTTTGTATACAAACAATATCACATTATATTCGTATTTTTGGGTGCCATGCATATTTACACTCAGGAAAATATTAAAATCTTGTAACGGGATAGTTCCTTTATTATTTCAACCAATCAAATTTAGACCATTAATAATTGTGAATATCCAACAATCTAAAATATATGAACAGAATGATACTGTTACGAGATTGTAGCCATAACTCATCCCCTATATATAATTCTAGAATGTGCTGAGCCTAAGTGGTAGACTCGCATGCTTCGGAATCCTAGGTGTCAAAATTCCATGCTTTGTTATTTGGGTTGGATAGATTTAAATTTAATTCCAATCCAAAACTCTAGGTTCAGATCACCATAAATATGTTGATTTATTTATGATCATTTTATATGTGTTAAATGTATTTTAATATCGTTTTCTATTATAACTATTGAACTGTAAATATATTTTAAAAGTTGATAACTTTTGTATTTCTTATCAGTTTTTACATTATCAAATTAATCATCTTTTGATGAGCTTCGATTTTGACATCCATATTGTATATATAAAATAAATAAATTATATTTATCTTTACAACAATAAAATAATATTTGTTGAAATTAATTAAAAATTAAATTATTTATCAATTAATATATTCATGTTTAATGTAGTTATATGTTATAAGTTAGAAAATTTATTATAATATAGTACATGTAAGTCGCACAAGTAACAAGTGTCATACTATAAAATATATATATATAGTATATTTAAATTTGTAACAAGTGCCGGAACCGTGACTTTTGCTCCTTTTTTTTTTTACTATTGTTTTTATTGGGTTTCATCTCTATCCTACCCCAATTTGTTTGGGACTAAAAGGTTTTGTTGTTGTTGTTGTTGTATTAATTTTAAATTTAAAAAAAATTAATAAGCACCATGTAATACACGGGAGTTATACTAATATGTTACGAAGAACTAACTCGGTGGACTAGAGAATTAAATGGCAATTATTGATGTGTTTTGGACGTACTGAAAAGGACACAACAAGATTAGTTGAAAACACGTGCTCAGGAAGTTTGGTTAAACTCTGTTGGTCGACATATATAATAAACGAATTTACACTTTCAAATATAGAAACCTAATTTAATTATAACTATTCACTCACATATTTATTTATACTGATAAAAAAATAGTACTACATCTACATAGGAGTATTAAATTATTAAGAACAATTAAAAACACTTATTAATACTCTGTAACGAAATTAATTACTACATCTAATTAGTTAGCTTTTTTTGTTGGGAAAACTATTCACGTAAATTAATGACATAGTAGTATTGAATTATTAAGAACAATTAAAAACACTAATTAATACTCTGTAACGAAATTAATTACTACATGGCAATGAGTCCTATGACATTTGACTTAACGATTTAGCCATTAATTTTTTTGAATTTAGTACTTATACTGACACATAATTGACTTTAGATTCAAAGAAATTCACTTCGGCACAAACTTTCACCACATTTTTATTATATTATAAACTTCAATATTTAAAATATATATATATATATATAAATTAAAATTAAAAAAACAAAAGATGTGACAAAAATTTTAAATATTGCTCCTACGAACAGTACTCCCACAAAAATGGATCTTCAAGACGGAATCCAATGTGATCACTCCCACCCATCACCTGCCATGAGGACGCATAGTACCCATCCCCGAGATCCGCCCCGTCAAGGGGCAAATCAGGCAAGTCGAAAAATGTGTCGTCCTCGTCGCTACCCTTGGAAGCTGAATTCGGCGACTCCCCTGACGCCAAATCTGTGGACGAGTGTGAGCTCGGGAGGCCCGGCCCGGCACGTGATTCCGGGCCTCCGTCCAGGGCGGCGGCCTGGGCGGCTGCTGCCTGGATATCCTTGGGCAAGGTCGAGGCCGGGCGGGGAAGCTCGTGGGCCAAGTGGGGGAAGTTGAGGTAGGCCGACCGGCCCTTGATGGCGAGGGCCGCCACGTCGTGGGCCCGTGCGGCCATCTCGGCCGTCGGGTAGGTCCCGAGCCATATCCTCGACTTCTTTCTCGGCTCGCGGATTTCGCAAACCCATCTCCCCCAACTCCGTTTCCGTACCCCGCGGTACGTCGTGTGTTCGTCGTCCGCGGTGGCGGTGGTACTGGCGGCGGCCGCCTTAGGCCGCCCGTTTTGGCGGCATTTTTTCACCTTGAGTTTGTTATTAGATTTGGGGATCGACGTTGTAAGGGTAGTTGTACTTTGTGCATCGTTTGTGGTACTCGTTGAGGAGTTGGAGGAGGCGGAAGTGGAGGAAGAGGGACCGCGGGAGGAGGAGGAGGAGGTGGTGGTGGTGGTGGTGAGAAGTTGGTGGTGAGTAGGAAGACATTGAAATGTGATATTTTGTTCCATACTTGGGTAAAGGTGTTGCCTTGGTGGGTAATGGACACCAAGAAAAGGTTATGTTATGTAGGTACATAAAGATAAGTGTGGTTGGGAGTAAGGGACTCTAGCACAAGTTAGGCTAATTTATACACTACTCTATATATAATACCTCCAACGCCCGCATATTTATTTATTTTTTATTTTATTTAATTTTATTTTTTGTTTCCTTAAACTGAAATTTGTAATAATTTAAAAAGAACGAATAAATATCTCCAATTCCCGAAATATTTATATTATATTTAACATCATAAATACTCAAACCATTAAAATAATGCACTAGCGTCATTCATAGTTCATTTAAATTTGTAATAGCTTTTAAAGAATATCTAATGTGGCTGTGATACTGAAAAATCAATTAAAATTTAAAACAATCTAGGGATGTATCTTCAGTCCACAGGCTTGATATCTTCCTTATGATACCATTAATTATTTGTTGATTTTGTAAAAATTTTCTAAATCCATTAACTAATTTCAATATAAAGTACTTTCTGTAACAATCATTTGAAAGTAGGACACAATTTTTTTTAAAGATTCAATCACATGTTTATCTTTTTGTTAATCAAAATAAATATACAACAATGACTAATATGTTGTTACAACTTGATTGTAGAATACAACGGGAAAAATATGAACTGAAACTATGTTTTCAGTTCATACAATTTGAACAATAAAACATAAAACAAAAATACAATTTAAGAGCGGAAAAATTAAAGTCGAGGCGAGTGAACACTTTTCGCAAGATAAATACGACCCCTACAATGCTAACGAGTCTGCACGTGTTGGCCCTAAAGATACAACTACTTACGTCTCGAAGGCTATAGCACACCAACTTTTGAGCTCCGACGAACGCAACGGAGTCAAGAATTGAGCAGTATGTATATGAATGTGGCTATGAGAGAGTGCAAGAATGCAGATGAGATGTGTGTTCCTGCAGCTCTATATATATCATGTCATATTTATAGGACTTCCAACACGAGTGAGGAACCTCTGATCTTCAACTTGTAACAGCCCAACCAGTAACAACCCACTGATGGTTGTTGTAAATAGGCAATTTTTCTAGTATCAACTCACCTTCATTCCACCTGATAACCACTAAAACGGTCAGATGTCTCATTAGTGTCGGGTCAAAAAACCATAGTCCAAATCCAACTTGGCGTGGATTTCAATTTGGGTCACATGCTTAATCGGTCAAAAAACCATAGTCCAAATCCAACTTGGTCTGGATTTCAATTTGGGTCACATGCTTAATCATTTATTTCTCAGTCACCGAAAACTAGTTTTGAAAAAATAAATATATCACGAGTATCTACTCAGAACGTAAAATTTTTCTACACAATTTTATTCAGCCCGAATTAAATATTTATCCGTAAAAAATCAGTCAAAACTAGTTCAAACAAAAATTTTATAATTGATTTTTTCAATATTTGTTTTGTCAATTAATTAGTCCGAATCAAATATGGTACTAAGGCTATCTTATGTTTGGTTAATCAGAGTAAAAATGCAGTACTATGGCTGCATCAAGCTATCTTTATGTCCAATCCCAATCAAAATTCAGACCACATGCTTTGATAACATTTTAATCATCACTCTTTAATCATCTTAAACTAATTAATCGGCAAATATTAAATGATTTTCTCGATTAGCTCCATCTCGCCTTTAAGGCGTAATTGCAATTTTAGTCTTGTTGGTTTGATCCAGTAACGTTTTTAGTCCTAAAAATTGAATATTTTTGTTATTTAGTCCTTTGATTTTAAATTTCAATGCAATTTCAGTTTTTCAGGAATGAAAATACAACAAAATTAAAAATTACAAGACTTAAATTGCTAATAAAAAATCTTTTGGATTGATTTTTTTATTAACAATTTTAGTCATGTAATATTAAATTTTATTGCAATTTCAGTTCCAAAGGACTGAAGTTGCAGCAAAATACTAAATTACAAGATCAAAAGACAAAAAGTTAAAAATCTGAGACTAAAAATGCCGTTAAACCAGCAGGACTAAAAATACAATTTTACCTGCCTTTTTTTTTGGTACAGAGACCTTCCGATTTCCAGATCTATAAGGGAACCGACTAATCCGGAATTATAAGCATTAATACATTAAGTACGTGTCAACTCCAACTGACACACACATTTGCTCGGGTACGTTTTGCCAAAAGAAATAATAATAATAATTATTTGAAGGGGCCAAGCTTATTTTGTGCCCATTCAAAAAACACGAATTTCACATGAAAAAAAAACTTTGGTGGTCCCCCGGGTAGGGTACGGGTCATTAATGCAGGCGGGTAGGGTTATTTAACACCGATGGGCATTTAATATGTACATTTACTTCGACATATATATATCGTTTAACCTGAGCTCTCACCCTTTTTGTTACCCTTTTGCTTGGTGGGATCAATTATTGGCCAACGGCTTGTTGAAATATACCCTCTTCAAGAACTTTTTCATGCTCTTAGTCTTACAGTAATATCGGATGAAACACAGGAAAAAGATGAATATTATTATTTATTAGTTCCATATGGGGTCAGAGGTAAGGTAACGATGTTCGAATTGAAAATATCGGTTAATTCCGTTTTTTAAGTTATAAATCCTGACGAAATTTTTAACCGTTAGATCATTATGTAACTGTCGTGGATAGTTGATCTAACGATTATAAACCCAGACGGAATGGATCCGTAACGAGACCGTAGAATCTCCGTATCAAGCATTGAATCATTTTTCTAATAAATGCATATATTATTTTTTAATAAATTTAGAAATATTTTTGAATTATATGAAAGTACGGACCACAAGTCAATTCTTGGGTGGAGCCAAGATTCAAAATATATACCTGGGCTAAAATTATTTTTATGAAAACTCACACACCTTATAAATAAGTTTTAAGAGTGACCGACTAAGTACTAAATTAGTGCAATATAAACACTAAATAAATTGAATTACGTATTGATTGATAAACTTTAAGTGTGACCAACTATATATTAAATTAGTTCAAAATACGCACTGAATAAAAAATAAATTACTTAATAAACATTCAATATTCATTGTTTAATGTGAAGTATATAAAAATTATAAAATTTACAAAATAAGCAAAATTTAGTATACAATTCATAAACAAAATAACGTTCAAACATAAATGAAATATATAATTAGATTATTAATTGTTGTATAAAATTAAATACAAAAAGGTGAAACTAAGTATAAAATTCTACCTATATATAATTTTCAAATGTGCTGAGCCTAAGTGACAGGCTCACATGCTTCGGGATCCTAGGTATCAATATTCCATGCTTCATCATTTGGCTTGGATAAGTTTTAATTTAATTCCAATCTAAAAAATAATTAGGTCTAGATTACCATAAATATATTAATTACCTATGATCATTTTAGATTTATTAATTGTATTTTAATATTATTTCTTATTATAAACCATTGAATTGTAACTTTTGAATTTCTTATCGGTTTTACAAATATAATATATCAAATTAATCATCTAAGCTGATAATATTTTAAAAGCTGATAACTTTTGAATTTCTTATCGAAACTCGTAAAGAGATGATTAATTTGATATATTATATGTATAAAACTAATAAAAAATAAAAAATTATTAACTTTTAAAATACATTTACAATTCAATAGTTATAATAAGAAATGCTATTAAAATACAATTAATAAATGTAACATCACTAATTAAAAATTTTAGCGGCAGGTTCTTTTTTTTTAAAATTTAGCGGCATTTTCCAACCGCCACCAGTGCACTTGTCAGCATTTATTAAACTGCCGCCTATACAAATGTCGCAATAAATTTAGTAGCGGTTTCACAAAACCACTGGAAAAAGTGAAGCTATATACTTATACCACAATGAATGCTTTTTTGCAACATTTTAGCGGCAATTCATAACTGCATCTAATTTTAAATGTAGCGGCAGTTTTTAACCGCCACAATATATAAATTTTTTTTTTTTCCGGCAGTTCTCAAACCCACCACTAACATTTATCACTATTTAAATTACAATTTTTGTAACATTCTTAATTCCTGCCTTATCCATCATCCAATTTATAATAATTATAAAATTATTGTAACTCACTTGACGTCAAAATATCATGATTTACTTAACCAATAATATCATTGATGGGTTTCTTCTCAGATCTGGAACGGTCTAATGAGAAAACGTCCGGATCTGGGACGAACCGGTATGAATGAGCTTAGATCTGATGTGATGGTGCTCGAACCGTTGTTGTTGGGCCGCAAGAACACCTGCAAGACTCAACGCCGGAGGGTTTTCCGGCGTAGAGCCTCCGACGCTCAAGTCAGTATATGAGAGAGAGAGCAGCAGCAGTAATGGAAGGGTATGGAATGAATGGGAGTTAGGGTTTTGGGATTACCTCAGTCCTTTATATAGGAGTACAACATTTACCTGAAGTCCCCAAAGTGCCCCGGCCGACTTAATGGAAATGTCCAGAATACCCCGGTCGGTTCATATTCTGCCTACTTCCTAGTCAGCATCTAGATCCTTCCTTAACTTTCTTCTTATCCTTAACTCTTCTTCAATATGCTGAGGTGTGTCTAAGCTATCGAGGACCACGAACTGCGAAACTCTTTCAGTCGACCTGAGATATTGGGTCGAGTCGACTGGGCCACATTCAACCGTTAGTAGATCCTAATACGTCTGACCGTTATCTTGTCGGAGGTCGACTTATACTAGTCGACATATGCTAGTCGACTCGATCGGTGGCCGGGATTCTTGACTGAATATCGTGGAACCTTACTAGCGGAGTCGACTTTGTCTAAGTCGACTTGGTGGTCTCGAACCGTGATGGTATGAACCGCTATGAGACAATGTGGCTATATCATCTAGTCCCCCCAAAATTTACTCGAAGCGATTCTGAGCTTAAGAGTAAGTTCTGGATGGTCGAGCGTTTTCCTCGAGTCTCCTTTCACATCCTATCGTCTGTCGTTGCCCTAAATTA